GGCAAGTGCGAAAATAAAGACTTGATTTTGTGCTGATGTGTACATTAGTTGCAAAAAAATCAAGGTATGTACAACTAGTGATTGTAAATAGCAGATGCAATCAGCTTTTATAGCAAGAGCGAATAAATGTAAGATTACTACGGTTCTTCCCTAGCAGAGTTTCGAGCCGGGGCATTGATTAAATGAACCGACGATGTTGATGATGCTTGTTGCACCTTCAAAAAGTAAAGTGATACCACAAGACTGGGTGTCGTCTACCCCGGCTCTGCTACTTGGTGATCACAAATTAGTTATAGTGGATTGTTTTTACTACTTAGGTGAACATGTAGCTTAATAAAGGAAGTAACCACAACATCCCCAAGGTACGAGCAGCGCATGCAGTACTGAAACACCTTTGGTACCGACGTGATATTTCCTTGCAACTAAAAAGTTTCGTATGCTGCGCTACTTTGCGGTCAGTTCTCCTTCACGGTTGCGAGACCCTAAATTCCCGCGTAGGATACGTTCATCGCTTTGAATTCTCGGTTAGTTGGATGAAGCAAACCTGTAAGCAACTCTGAAATAAGCGGTCCAGTATTTGGTAATGCAAAGGTGAAATTCCCCTCATGTGATGATGTGTTCTCTTGGTTCAGTCACGTGCTCAATCAGTGACTTCAAAGTTCAATCGCTCTGTCGGTCGAATGTCTCGTGGGTAATTCGAAGTTAGTTTGGAATAGAGGCTGGTTGTATTTGCATTGTGCTTGTAGTCCTATTCTGTTGAATCGTCTCCTTCGAGGTTGTACTCGATACGAAACTATAAGGTAACATTAAATAGTTAATTTACCCATAAGTTCTATACCCACCAAAATGTATGCAACATGCGCTTTATTCAGGATGAAAATCCACGTTGCCTTGAAACGGGACAATCCCAAGAAAGCCTGTTCAGTCAATACTACCAGTCCTTAAAGTTTTTGGCGGTCAATTTTGCCACTACATTCATTTTTGTAGAACGCGCTACCGGCAAGTTCTCAAAACAACGACGAAACAGCTGTCCAGTGTTCATTAGCAGTCAATGGCAGAAAAACGTTACAGCGAACAGCTGGTTTATTCATTTTGCTGGTCATCATCAATAGTATCCAACGTATCAGGAGAAATTCATGTGTGCTTTTACTTTTGCACTACTACTGTTTTCTGATGTTTGATACGTTATTCCGTGGATCATGATGATCCACTGTTTGTGCTCCTGTCAGTGGAATCTTTCTGCTTATGGCTATCATACGCCGAAATATGCGCGAAATCTCTGTCAGAAACGATTTTCATTTTTGTCATTCGATGTAAATTGCACATGGTGGTGGTGGTGGTGCACAATTGCTGGTGGTTAATGTTCTATTTTCCATAGGCTAATGATTCGTTCATTTTGTTTGCTATAAACTATTTGAAAGTCTTCATGCCGGGTCGTATTGCTCTAACCGTTGAAAATTCATCTAAACATCATTCGTAATTGAAATTATCATGGATATAAGCTCTCAATATCCACTGGGCTTCGGTAGCGAAATGATTTTGATCCAACGCTACCCATCGGCCTACTGAATATAATTCACAACAACACAATCCAATGCTCGTTCTGATCGCTGTCGATCGATGCGCATCCGAAAATGATTTGTTGCACAACTTTTCAAACGGTCGAAGTTCAGCGGAGCAGACAGCCGTCATCTGAAATTGAGTCTAGAGTTTGATGCCATAAGCATTTAGTCAGGCTTACTTTGCCATCATTGTTTCACTGTCGATGGACAGGGCTAGAAGCATTTTGTCACTGTTTCTGTCATCACTTAGCACCTTTTGTGATCCTACACTTTCTTGCATTGATTCGACCTCACCAGACGACGGTTTGACTGCTGCAATCCAACACCAAACGCCTAGTAGCAGAAACCCATGAAGGTGTTTGGTAGATACTTGGATTGCCTTTCCATCATCGTATTAATAGAAATGGCTATCAAATGATTAATCAAACGGATTGACTGGTTATTCAAGTTACGTTCTGCTTGTGTTGTGATTAAAATACCATTGGTATGAAATAATTTATTCAGTAAAAAACTGTCATATTATCGCTTCACAAACGTTTTCGTACATCCCATTACCTAACGTGACCACCCAGAGTTGATGCTGCCAAATTGAAGAATTTCGATGTATGATATTCTGAAAATGAAATCTTCAAACTCAAAGACAGCGCTATCTGGAAATGCTAAATCCTCCTTCCGAAATCACCGCCTCCAGGGATTCCGTCTTGTCCTATGACGACCATCTCCTCCCAAAGCAGGCGTGCGCTACCGTTCTGGTGGTCTACTACCCACTTTCTTAACGCCCACATGGACCTCATTCGCTTTCGGTCCGTTTACAACTGGTTCTTATGAAACTGTAATTGGACAGCAATTGGTATGAGTCTAGCGGCAGAGTGCCGTGTATTGACTTCTCCTGTTAGATATCCATTATGTGGACTCACCGTCTGTAAGGCATGGTCGCGGAAAAGTGAAATTTTCAGGCATGGGTTGTCCGTTGTTCATCTGCTCGAGGCAGCACGTTGTTGAGAGTTAGTTACGGACATCGAATAACAAGAAGTGAAAGGGCATGAACATAATTTGGCTTCACCTTTTGATTCGATTATTTTTGCGATCACAGTCCCATGAACTTCCGTGAAAAAGAATGATGGAGTGCGTGCTTGTGTAAGATGGGTTGGTAATTTAATTTACATGCTTTTACGCTTTTTAGCAGCTGACTATCTCCGTCGGCCGTTTGCCACCAACTTGCACTCTTCAGAAGCGTCTATGATAGACTCGTTCAACTGGGTGGTAAAAAATGATTTTATGATTTAACAAACTAGTTGGTAGAACATTATACTCCAATGGTAAGATTCTTAGTAAAACCAAGTCTCCCTTTTCTCACCAATCGTTCCGATATTTTCTACTTTTAAATATTAAATTGGAATGGTGGACCATGTCGTTTTTTACTTTTCCATATTTCCTGGGGTTCGTTTGCACGCTCGTTGGTGAAGTTATCAGTGCTGTGATCTGCGTTAGAGATCTTTTGCCGCGATGACTGTTCCGTTTCTGATAACCCTCTGCTCCGAAGACTGGCTTACATAATTCGGGTTAGGCTTTCTGAATGGCGAACTTGGTAATAATGCCACCGAGAGTGATATGACCGTGTGTTGTAAACAGTCGTGCTCACGCATCTGCACAACTTTCATCTACCAGAATCATCTTTTGTCACCTTAACATTGCTTTCAACATTCTGATCTTTCCTCTGTTGTTTCATCGAAAGGAGCAGCCGAAGGACTTCAACCAAAACCGCCACGCGAAGGTGGAATAATCATGCGCACCCAGGGTAACAACAATCAGTGTCCGAAGCCAATGATTTACGTTGTTCGTGGGGTTTATTAACCAGTCCACGGTTGTGTTATGCGAATGATGCAGTTACTTCAAGTGGAGCGAATTGTGTTATGTTTTGTCACGGGTCCATAAGTTCAGTAGTATTCACTGTGAAATCATGGTTTTTCCGTTTCGAACTGCAGTAATTCCCGTTAACGGTAACGATTATTTTTTCTTAAACTTATCGTGTTGAAAATGCACCTTCTGTTGGTGTTTCTGAAAAATGCCTCGTGTTCCCCTGAAACTCATTTTTCAACTGTCAGTTCCATTATGGACGATTCGCGATTATTTTTATTTTCTCTTGTTTCACTCTGTNTCTGTACAAGACTTCATCTCGTGTTAAAACCCATCAGGTCGATTGTCGTCTTTCGTCCCATGCACGCTCATTTCAATATCCTTGTCTTCGTCCCACACAGGTCGGTGCAATCGGTTTCATCCCACAAGTGATCAAAGGTGTTTATCCGATTTATCTCATCAAAATGGATCCGACCACGGAAGAACCTCTCCGGGATCCAGAGACCGGTCTCTGTATCGAATGTGATGAGAATGAACCGGGTCAACTGATCGGTCGGATCAGCAAGCGTAGTCCCGTGCGCCAGTACGACGGTTATGTTAGTGAACAAGCGAGCGAGAAAAAAGTGCTGCGCAATGTGTTCAAACCCGGCGATGCTTGGTTCGCTTCCGGTAAATAATTAGACTGTCTATATTTGTTTTGTTTGGGTTCAAACAAAGTTATGAATGTCATGTAAAGATCTTTTTCAGACAGCAATCAAAATTTTTTGTTCTGTGATTTCCCGACTCAAAGCCGGTGTTTCACAACTAGAGCTTCCGGCTAACCAAAGTTTGGTATACCAAGTAGCGCGCTGGTGTGAATACAATTTGAAGGTGCAAAGCACATGCCGAATGTGACTAGTGCACTTGTTAGTCTATCAAGTGCGTTTTGCTCGTCCTCCATACATTCGAACAGACGATGTCATTGGCGTACTCTAAATTGCATAGCTTTCCTCCAACTGTCCATTCAATACCTACGTTTTGGAGTCCCCTTAGTGCGCTCTCCAGTATTTCGTCTACGACTAAATTGAATAGGAACGCCAAAAGAGGGCATCCTTGACGAACGCCGCTGCTGGTGACGAACGGCCTACTTAGTTCGCTGTAAACGCTTACACGACCGGAGGTATGTGAGTACAGTACCTCAGTAGGCTAACGTACTGCCGACGGAGCTTCAATTTGAGATGAGGCAGCCTGGTTAGCACTAGGCCAGCTGAACTGTTCGCTAAAGTATTCTACCCAGCGATCGAGTCGTTGATGGCTACTGTGAATAGCTTGTCCCTTCTTATCGCAGACTGTTTCACTAACTGAAGTTCGTCGACCTCCCGTATTGCGTATCAGTCGGAACAGTCTTTGACTATTCCCTGATGCAGCTGCTACTTCATTTCACTAGCTACTGTTGCCCACCAGTTCTCACGATCCTTCTTCAGACTCTTCGTGAGCTGATGTTGTAGATGCCACCTAACTCTATTTTTATCCTGGCAGGTCGGGATTTTTCGTTTTTGCTCCATCAGGACTAATGACTCCTGAGATATCCAATGCCCCCGACGGGTTTGAGGCTCACACCCACAAGCGACATTCGCTGCGGAATACATTGCTCGCCTAATCTGATCCCACTGCTCGTCTACGTCACCAAGCTTAGCTTACGCACTAGCTCTGACTCATAGAGTGCATGAACTGTTGGAACAGATAGTCAATGATGAGCTATCAGTCGGAGAGTGAACTGCATCAAAAGTAATGCATTTTGCGCGTCCTCCATATAATCTAACAGACGATATAATTGGCCTACTCGAAATTGCATAGCTTTTCTCTAGCTTCCCATTGAATACCTACGCTAGCCATTACACAGCGTCAAGGTGCAGACTCGTCGTACCGGTGGTTGGTTTGGAATAATCGTTTTTAGCCAACGCTCCTAGATGAACTGTCTTTTTTTGCCGATTGGTTTATAGCCCTTGGTATTTTCCGTCCTGTCACGAGCATTGGAATGCTCCGGTCATATCTGGTTGTTCCTGTCTTTCGAGTGTAGTTGACCATTTATGCAACAATTGCTCTAAGTGATGATTTGCTTATCACAAAGGGCAAATGCCGTACCGAGCATCTTTTTTCTGCTCCCGTTGCCGACGGATTCAATCCACTATGAGTTAGTTAGTTTGAGGAGTTTGAAACAACTAATGTTGGAGAGAAGAAGTGGTCGTTACTGTGGTTGGAGGAATCATCACCCCGATTGCCGGATGTCAGAGCTGTTTCCCCCGCTCCATGTGAAATAACCTATTTGTCGTGATTTCAGGTTTGCTTTTGTGACACATCGCCTTGTCGTTCGTTTCAACGCAAACAGCTGTGTGATCGCCATGAGGTTTTTGTGAAATGTTGTTGAGCGACAATTAGCGTCCATACAATAATTAGTGTTTTTTTAGTTCTGCAGAATCTTTATCATGTCGTGCTTTTCTTTGCGCACTTTCTTCTTCTTCCAGGTGATCTGCTTTACCGGGACGAGCTGGGTTATCTCTATTTCAGTGATCGTCTTGGTGATACATTCCGTTGGCGCGGGGAAAATGTGTCCACGGCTGAAGTGGAGTCTGTTTTGCTCAAAGCATTTCCCGATATGACCGCGACTGTCTACGGCGTTCCTGTCCCAAAGAATGAAGGGAAGGCCGGAATGGCCGCACTGGTTGTGGACCTATCCAAAATTCCTGCCGAGGATGAACGGGAACTAGTGGATCGATTATATCAGGAATTCACGTTGAATTTACCCACATATGCTCGTCCACTGTTTCTCCGATTGTGCGAACAAATCGAAATGACTAGTGAGTTTCTGGACGGCATTGGATTCTCGCACGATCACATCTTTATGGATTCTTGCAACTTAATCATCCAGTGGATAAAACAAAATAATAGTTATTTTTGGGACTTGGAATGACTTCAACTTTCACATACACGCACAATCCTCAGTGCCTCTAGTCAACCATACAGTCTGGATGCACTTGACTCGAATTCCACTCTCAATAGGATTTATTTTAGCAATGAAGATCCACCGTCCTGTTGAGGTTTGAACTCCGGACACATCGCATATAGGGTGTGTGCGCTACCAAGGTACTAACCAGATTAGAATCGCCCATTTAGGCCTAATAAGGTAAATTCTTCAAGGAAATTCAGTTCCGTTTGTCCCAACAACAACGAAGGTGATTGAATTCGATTGAGGTTCATCTGGGAGGTCCGTTCGGACCAGAATCCCTCGCTCGGGAAACGACTATAGGCTCTATGTTCCGACCGCCTCCTATTCCCTAGGCAGTACGAACTTCAGACGTTACAACTGCCCTCATCGAACCAGTGACCAACGAAAATCGACCACTTCACTAAAAGCTAAAAATGGAGTTTTAGTTCAGTTTGGTTTTTGCAACCATTAACCGTGCATTTCCGTGCTCCGGTTTAGGTTGCTATCTTTTGGCCGCCCATTTGAATAAAATAGCAGAATGAATATTGAGATTATTAATTCCACGGTGGCAAAGAATCTACGATAGAGTGACGCGTTAAACCCACAGGACCAAATGCCTTATATCAAAGCA